TATCTGGACACTTGCACTCTACCAAGACTAAACCAGGAAGGTGTTGAAACCTTGAATAGACCAATAACAAGGGCTGAAGTTGAGGCAGCAATCAACAGCCTACCAACCAAAAAAATCCAGGTCCTGATGAGTTCACAGCCGAATTCTACCAGACTTAAAAAGTGGAGCTGGTTCCATTCCTTCTGAAACTATACCAAACAATACAAAAAGAGGGAATCCTCCCTAACTCATTTTATGAGATCAACATCATCCTGATACCAAAATCAGGCAGAGACTCAACTGAAAAAGAAAACTTCAGGCCAATATCCATGATAAACATAGATGCAAATATCTTCAATAAAATATTGGCAAACCCAATACAACAGCACATTAAAAAGATTATTCATCACAATCAAGTAGGCTTCATCCTGGGGATGCAAGGCTAGTTTACTGTACGCAAGTCCATAAATGTAATCAATCACATAAACAGAACCAAAGACAAACACCACATGATTGTCTCAGTAGATGGAGAGAAGGCGTTTGGCAAAATTCAACAGTGCTTTATGCTAAAAAAACTCTCAATAAACTAGGTATTGATGGAATGTATCATAAAGTAATAAAGTATTTATGACAAACCCACAGCCAATATCATACTGAACAGGCAAAAGCTGGAAGCATTCCCTTTGAAATCAGGCAGTAGACAAGGATGCCCTCTCTCATCAGTCCTATTCAATAAACTATTGGAAGTTCTAGCCAGAGCAATCAGGCAAGAAAAAGAAATAAAGCATATTCAATCAGGAAAGGAGGAAGTCAAACTGTCTCTATTTGTAGAAGACATGATTGTATATTTACAAGAAGACCCCATTGTCTCAGCCCAAAATCTCCTCAAACCGATAAGCAACTTCAGCAGTCTCAGGATACAAACTCAATCTGGAGAAATCACAAGCATTCCTATACGCCAATAACAGACTTAAAGAAAGCCAAATTAAGGATGAACTGCCATTCACAATTGTTACAAAGAGAATAAAATATCTAGGAATGTAACTAACTAAGGATGTAAGGGACCTCTTCAAGGAGAACTACAAATCACTGTTCAGTGAAATAAGAAAAGGCAAAAGCAGATGGAAAAACATTACATGCTCATGGTTAGGAAGAAGCAACATTGTGAAAATGGCCATATTGCCCAATGCAATTTATAGATTCAATCATGTCCCCATCAAGCTATCTACAACTCTCTTCACAGAATTGGAAAAAACCACCTTAAGCTTCATATGGAACCAAGAGAGCCCACATAGCCAAGACAATTCTTAGCAAAAAGAACAAAGCTAGAGGCATCACACTACCGGACTTCAAACTATGCTACAAGGCTACAGTAATCAAAACAGCATGGTACTGGTACCAAAACAGAGAAATAGAGCAATGGAATAGAACAGAAGCCTCAGGGGCAATGCTACACATCTACAACCATCTGATCTTTGATAAAACTCACAAAAACAAGCAATGGGGAAAGGATTCCATTTTTAATAAATGGTGTTGGGAAAACTGGCTAGCCATATGCAGAAAGCTGCAACTGGACCCCTTCCTGACACCTTACACTAAAATTAAATCCAGATGGATTAAAGACTTAAACATAAAACCTAACACCATAAAAACCCTAGAAGAAAACCTAGGCAAAACCATTCAGGACATAGGCATAGGCAAGGACTTCATAACTAAAACACCAAAAGCATTGGCAACAAAAGCCAAAACAGGCAAATGGGATCTCCTTAAACTCCAGAGCTTCTGTACAGCAAAAGAAACAATTGTTAGAGTGAACCAGCAAACAACAGAATGGGAAAAGATTTTTGCAATCTACCTGTCTGACATAGCGCTAATATACAGAATCTACAAAGAACTAAAACAGATTTACAAGAGAAAAACAAACCAACCCACCGAAAAGTGGGCAGACGACATGAACAGACATTTTTCAAAGGAAGACATTTATGAGGCCAACAAACATATGAAAAAATGCTCATCATCACTGGTTATTAGAGAAATGCAAATCAAAATCACACTGAGATATCATCTTATGCCAGTTAGAATGGTGATCATTAAAAAATCTAGAGACAACAGATGCTATAGAGAATGTGGAGCAATAGGAACACTTTTACACTGTTGGTGGGAGTGTAAATTATTTCAATCATTGTTGAAGACAGTGTGGCAATTCCTCAAGGACCTAGAAATAGAAATTCCATTTGACCCAGCAATCCCATTACTGGGTATTCATCCAAACGATTTTCAATAGTTCTATTATAAAGACACATGCACACATATGTTCATTGTGGCACTGTGTACAATAGCAAAGACCTGGAACCAACCCAAATGCCCATCGATGATAAACTGGAGAAGGAAAATGTGGCACATATCAGCATGGAATACTATGCAGCCATAAAAAATGATGAGTTTGTGTCCTTTGTAGGGACATGGATGAATCTGGAAACCATCATTCTCAGCAAACTGACACAAGAACAGAAAATCGAACACTGCATGTTCTCACTCATAGGTAGGTGTTGAATAATGAGAACACATGGACAAGGTGGGGGGCACACTGAGGTCTGTTGGGGGGGAATAGGGAAGGTACAGCAGGGTTAGGGAGGTTGGGGAGGGATAACATGGGGAGAAATGCCAGATACAGGTGACGGGGACGGAGGCAGCAAACCACATTGGCATGTACATACCTATGCAACAATCCTGCATGTTCTGCACATGTACTCCAGAATCTAAAGTGCAATAAAATATATATATGTGTATATATATGTGTGTATATATATGTATATATACATATTATATATATATATATACATATATATACACATATATATGTGTGTATATATATGTGTGTGTGTGTGTGTGTGTGTGTATATTTTATGGCCAGCAATGCTTGTTATGTATCCATCAACAAAAAATTGTTGACCACCTACTGCCAAAGACAAATATATATATATATTTGTGTGTGTGTGTGTATATATGTGTGTGTGCGTGTGTGTATATATATATATATATATATATGGATATATATATATATATTTCCAATGAGGATTTTATAAAACCTTTACTTATAAGTTATGACCTAACTACTTTTTATTGAAGTCAAGTAAGAAAAAAAGATCCTCAAAATATAACAATAAGCTCGATAAAATTATTTTATGAACAACTCACTATTATGTTTATGGTACATTTTGACCCTCAAATGTTTTCTGTACCATACTATTTTATGCTAAGTAAAAATGATGTATCTTTCTTAAATGTTCAAAATATATGTACTAAGTAAAAATTAATATATAAATTAAAATAGGATTAATCAATATATATTTCCTGAGCTATAAGGAGTTAATTTTTTTCCTGTGAGACACTATAACAGAGATGAAGATGCCAGATTCATCACAACACACAGTAGACTACTGATTCTCCTGTGACTCTTCAAGTATTAAGAGAATTTAAAAAAAAATTAGAAAGGCGTGAAAGATGAAGCTTAGTATTGAATAAGATAAAGGGAGGATGTGACAGTTAAAAGAATTTAAAATATAAAGAGAGCCCTCTTTGTTGCAGTCTTGAAATGTATATGTAAAGCCCCAAAAAACATCCCCATAACTACCACAAAAATAAAATGTTGCTTTTTGCCAAGAGAGGAAATCCAGTTGCAATGACCAGTGAGTTCACAAATGCAAAGAAGAACAAGCATCAGGACTGAACAGGGCCATCTCTATTCCATGAAGCTTCCTCTTCTTCATACAATTAGGTGTCCTTCCTATTACTCACAAAACGCCCAGATATTTTTCTAATACACCACCCATCATACTGGACTGAAGTTGCCTGAGTATAGGTTTGTTTTATCACACCATGATGACCTTGATGGTGATATTTAGATTTGTCTTTGGCAGGAGGTGGTCAACAATTTTTTGTTGATGGATGCATAACAAGCATTGCTGGCCATAAAATCATTACCAAAAACTCTTCTTCTCCAAGCAAAAAAAATATGTGTAGCTTGGACTTGTTGCCATAAATATTAAACAGCAATGGTAAAGGTTATATCATTTTGTATGTTCTCAGAGTATTAATTAAAATTGATATTCATTAAAAGAGTCACATTATGCAATGTTTTGAAATTTTTATGTAATTACTTTTATGTAACAATAATGGTATATATAATGGGTATTTATACTTCCAAGGCAAGCTTGGCATTTCAAAAGAACTTAATTTTTAATTTGAAATTAATTTAAGCAATTCCATTCTGGCTTATATCCATGGCTGCCATGGGGGTGGGGAACACTAGGTTATGATATATACTTAAATTTATTAAACTTTTTGGAAAGTTGTCTGTCTATAACTAATACATGATTTGAGTTATTACCCGGCACTATTACCTCCGAACATCATACATGTGTAAGAAATAGATAGATTTATAATTAAATTAAAATGATCTTACACATAGCCACAATATTATCAACTCCAAATTTAACTGTTGTTATAAATAGGTTAATGATGAAAATAGTGCATGGACATAACTATCTTGAATTTTAAAGTTTACAAACCAGCTAACAATCACTTTTCACATAGTGAAGATTTCATCTATTATGTATACAAACTGTAACAGGTTATTTATTTTGGTTGTACAAATAGAAATGACGTTAATTGTTTTATCCACAGTCTCCTGCTCTACAGATAAACTACTTTCATGATTTCTTTAGTAAGAGCTACCTGTTGTCCAAAATATCACTGAATATATGCTTACTGAATCCCTGCTGTACACATAGCTTTATCTTGGAAACTATTTCCCATGTTAATATTGATAGTCATTTTAACTGTCTACTGATTTTACTAATAAACTCACATTACTTTAAAATATGTAACAACTCTCTATAGTTACAATTATCAATTAACTCAGAAAAAATGAATATTATAATTTTGTCAAAAATAATTTTTAAGATGAAAAAATTCACTACTCTACCCAGTTTAATTAAGTAGAATTTCTCTTTCTTCCATTTTTTTTTTTTTTTTTTGTCAAAAACACAGGGCTATCTCTCAAAATCCAAAGGCAGAAATGTAAAACTAAGTTTTATCGAAGAATCAGAATCTCAGCATTTATCGCGGAGCATATGAATTGTCCCCTTCCTGCTCTTCCCGTGCCCTCTCCTCCCCTCAACTGCCCTCCCCTCACCTCCCTCTCCTCTCCTCTTCTGTTCGCTCTTCCTTTCTGATACAAAGTATATGTATTTTTCTCCATTAATTGACCAAAATCAGTAGACTACTTATAACACTGCTTTTCTAATATTTGTGGTACTATATCAAAGAAAAAATGGGAAAATTCTACACATATTATTAATATGAGTTGGCCTGAATTAAATATAAAATTTTTGATATGGTATTTAATAATTGAATTTCCATATACTTTACAAATTCTTCAACATTCCTGAAACAGAATGGAGATATTCAGAATATAAATGTTATTGAATAATAAATTAAATGGGCCAATTATTTTGACTTTGTAGCAGCTAGTTTGGAAATGAACTATTATTTAAACTGTGAAAGAATACTCTGAACACTGAAAGAACATATTAAAACTAAATAATAACCTTAATTTGTTATAGAACTTCATTGTAAAAAGAATTTTTCTTATCATTATCTTTTAGATTTTGATAAAAAGTTATTTCTACCTAAAGTTTTTAAAAATAATAAAGAACAATGCATTTGTTTGCTAGAGCTGATATATAAATTACCACAATCTAAGTGGCTTAAAACAATGACAAATTTAAACTTTCAGACGTCTAGAAGTTAGAAATGTGAAACAAAGATTTTAGCATGATTGGTTCTTTCTTAAGGCACCAAGATATAATCTGTTCTATGCCTTTCTCATATCTTCCTATAGTTGGCACTCCTTGGCTTACAGTTATAAAATGCCAAATTCTTTCTCTAGCATCATATGGCTTTCTTTCTTCTATGTATCTTCTATATTCCAATGTCCAAGTTTCTCTTTTAAGGATTCTAATCATAGATATTACTGTACACTTTAATCCAGGACGACCTTCTCATAACTTGATTACTGGAAAATTCCTATTTCCAAATGAGGTCCCATTTATGAGTTTTAGGTGGACATGAATACTGGGGGGGATGCTGTTCAAACATGTAGAATAAATTATTGTATTTATCTAAATCTCAGATAATTGTCAATTATTGTTAATTCAAATAATATAAAAGTTTATGTATTAAATAGGCTTCTTCAGGAAGCATGAGTAATAACAGAATCACAGGATTTTAGAAATTAATAGAAACTCCATCCATCATTTCCTAATTTTTTTGTGGAACTTCAATATTACCAGATATAAAGAGTGATAATTTAACAAAATGTACTATGACAAAATACAGTTGGCAAATGTTGGGAGAAGCAGCAAAGGAGAAAGGACTTACAGAGTGCCTACATAAATTGGTTATGAGTAACATATAAACTGGGAACACCAAACCACAGCAAACTGCAGAAGACCTCTGGAGAGGCAAACTTCTCCATACCTCATGTTCTGGTGCAGGGTGACCTAGGCTGTTACCATAAACATTGTGCTCAAGGACGTAAAACCCCTGCATAGCACTATGATGTAGCCAAACTTGTAGGCTCCTTGTAAGGTCCGAGTTCCACCAACTGCACGTGGATAATAAGCTAAAGATAACCACTTGTTCTTGTTTTGTGAAACTCCCAAACTGCCACTGTTATCAATGTTTAGAATAACACACCAGTCTGGCTCACTGATTTATACTTCTGGCTCACTGATTCACTCCACCATCACATCTCCCTCTCCCCACCATCACTCCACCCCTACCCTATAGATCAAAGTGATTGTAACCAATAGTGTGACAGATCAGAGCTCGGGGCCTTCACTGTCTCCTCCAGTAATAAGTGATAGCCCCCTGGTCCCACTTTCTCTCTTAATCTGTCTTTTTCTCATTCCTTTGTCGACACCAAGTTCAAGGTATCCACAGGTGTGATGTGAGACTGGTTCCCTATAGTAAACATGGCATACAACACCACCTCAGAAAGTAGGCTTGAACATTAGTTTACTAAAATCCTTAAAAAGTCCTGAAGTCCTATTAATTTTTTTTTAAACCAAGTCTTCTTTATTTGATCACTCAGCCCTTTTCCTTCATGTCTATAAATATTTAGTTCTCTAAAGCACCAATTATGATACAGGATTTGGTCTGTGGTATTTTAAAATCATAGCCCTAGGATCTTTGATATTTCTCCCACTTAGAGATAGGGTCTAATGGGGCCTAACCACCCTCAAGCTTCAGGCTGCTCCAACATAAAGCCAAGACCCACAGATGTAGGTTCTGGGCCCACCTCCAAGACTCAGTCCCTAGGCCTACCAAAGAGCAAGGATGGCCCCAGTGGCCCCAGCCTCCAGATTGACCCTGACACTGGGCTGGTAGTTATCAGAACAGCACCTGTCAACCCAACCGACAGGCTGGCCCCTGTAGACACAGACACAAGGTCCATTCCAACACCTGGGTGACCTTTGCAGATCAAAAGCCTACCTGAGCATCATCGCAGCTCCTATGGAAACAGGCTCAGGCCAGCCCCTGTGGATACAGGCTGCAGGCTCATACTTGCAAACCCAGGCTTCAAGCCTACTGCAGCAAACCTAAAAAAAAAAGGTCTACCCCAGTGGGCACAGACAAAAGGCCAGCTTGCATGAGGACTCTAGCTGCAAGCCCACTCCTGGACCACAATAGCCAGCCTGTTTAAAATCTCTGTGGGAGCTGACTGGTGAAGGGCTTTCCCAAACAAGCCAGTCTGCAAAGACTGGAGTAAGTCTCCACTTCTTCAGATGGACAGACACCAATAGCTGGCCACAAGGATTAAGGACAATCAGGAAAACATGAAATCACCAAAGAAATAAAGCATCAGTAACCAGTAATCAATCATAAAGAAATGTGGATGTATGAACTTCCTAACAATGTAAAATAATTGTTTTAAGGAAACTCAGCAAACTTCTATAGGTTCTCTATCCTCACGTCTGAAATCTGGGTGGATAGGCTCATCATGTGTCCAATAATGTATGTTGAGATAACCCTATGTGACTTCGGAAGCTGAAGCATAAAAGGCCAACAGTTTCTGCCTGGTTCTCTTGGAATGCATGCTGTTGAAAATCTTTCTCCTAGAATTCAGCTTCCATGCCCTAAGAACTCCTAACGGAAATGTTGCATACGTACATCAACAATCCCACTTGTTCCAAACCTGAGTCATTCCCAGCCCAGGTGTTAGACATGTGAGTCACGATGTCTCTAGATTAGTACAGTTTAAAGAACTTCCTGTGATGATGGAAATGTTCTGTATATCTGAAATGTCTACTTGGGGAGCCACTACATTGTGCCTCTTAAACATTTAAAATATGGCTAATATAACTATATAATTAAATTATTATTTGCATTTCATTTTAATTAATGCATATTTAAAGATAAATAGTAGCTACTCTACTAGGCAGTGAGCAAATTATTCTAGCCCCTAACCATCATTTACATTACCCTCTGATACCCTCCCAGAAATCATAAAGCAAAAGACAAGTCATCCTGTTTTACCAGTTCCAAATTCATGATCTACAGATTTCATGAGCATTTTTGCATAACGCCACAAAGTTTGAAGTAATTTGGTAGGCAGCAATAAATAACTGTAACCAAATTCCAATCTCTTAATATCAGCAAACTGAGCTCCAAAAATTGTGCTTTTGCACAAAATTCTGTGTCTGATTTGCAGAAAAACTTAGAATATAATACAGGAAAAAGACTTTTGAAAATGCTACCATAAATGAACTCTTCCAAGAAGTTATTATCCTTGATAACCTAAAAATCTATGATAAGTGAGATAGTTCTCCTTTACATTAAGCATTCTTGACGCATGCTGTTTAAGTGGCCATGACTATAATTCAGTAGTCAAGAGACTGTCCTGTCTATTTTATATTGTCTCTCCTTATAAATGCAAACATTTGAAATAAAATTACTAATATAAAAATTATAACACTAAATAGCAAGTGACTGCTATTTGCTAAACATTGACCAAAATAAATTATAATAATTCTGGTAATGTTTCCTCCTTTCCTCCCAAAAAAGGTCACAATTAGGTTATCAAGTAATCCTTAAATACTATTAAGTCAAATATCTTTGTTTATTAATGTATAAAGTGTTTAAATTAAAAATATCAGAGAATAAATTAGCAACACAAATCAGCAACATCCCCATCTCCCAGCAGCTTGACAGCTTTGTTATGGTTTAGATTCCCCAAGGAAAGTCTCAGCACCAAGATATTGATTTGCACCACTGCACTTTTCTAATTATTACCAATACAGTCCCTCCAGCTAATCAACTCTTCCTCACAGTAAGAGTGGCCTTCAGTTTAAATTCATTATGCTGATAAGTGACAACATCACAGTTGTGTGACAATTGCTTTAATTAAAAATATTTTTGAAGATTAGAAAACTATTGTATGCTGAAGTATACAAAGTGTCTGTCCCCCAAGAAATCAGGCTTTTGTTGATATATGACATTCAACATTTTCTCAGTTCTAAAAAGGAGATTCCTCTTTATTAAAATTTATCTTGAGAACTGTGTCAGTAGGAATGACCCTGTAAGAAAACTGTTTAGGCAAGCTGTCAGATTCTTTGAACTTTTTTTTTTTTTTCCTAATGCATGGCCATGTTATTTGAGATGTGATGAGGGGAGGTGAGAAAGTGAAGGATGCTATTTAAAATGGGATTAGGAAAATTCTTTCTGATGAAGGGCCTTGCTTATTTGTGGGAAAAGAGTTCCATGCACAGGATACAGAAATGCAAATACACTGAATTATTTGCTCTTTACATGCAATATTTTATGCAATTCTCATAGCTTCTCTATGAGGTAGGTACTATTATTATTCATGGTATGCTTCCATGTCCAAGCACATGGCCAAGCTTAAATAAATAGCTTGCAACTTTCCCAAGGTTAGTCAGGTAGCATATTGAAGAGTCTGGATTTTTAAAAGTAGCTTTTCTTTTTTTTAACTGACTTCATTCACAAAACAATACTATCTCTAATTTTGAAGAGAAAAAGAGAAACATTAGTTTATTCAAAATATACTTGAAATTTTTTGTTTGATCTGTAGACAGTTTATTTCTAGGTTTAAGCTAGTATTTACAAGATTAGTTAAGCAAACTCCATTATGCAAAGATATGCATAATTCTTATAATTATTAACCAAGAATTATGTTATAGGTTATAGTTATTTCAAGGGCTTTATAAACTACGTATTTCAATTTATTTTGGACTTTCCTAACAGTCTGGAATAAGGAAGTGAATGAAGACATCTGAACATCAAGGGAGAACGGATTGCAAAGCTGAGTCTTTTGCTCTTTGCATCTCCATTAGACCTCAGGAATTTAACAGACATGCATAGAATCAGTGAATGCCTGTGTTTTTTTCCAACACATTCTCTCCTTCAGACTGGAATCTATATCATATAGTTCGAAGAATCAGAGAGGTAACTTATCCTAATGAGTAAAAAATGACAATTTTATTTGAATCCAGTTCTTTCTGATTTGAGTATCTGTAAATTATTACCCACATATTAATATCCTTCATTTCTCATCAGATTTGAATAAAATAAGGTAAGGTCATGGTATATCTTTTATAATAAACTTAGGTTATTGTCAAAAACTAAAATATGAAACAAACTATTTTATTTTCTTTAAATATGAGTTTTGCATTAGTAATACATCTTAAAATATCTTAATATTTATATTTTACATAAAATTGTTTTTGATGTATTTAAGATGAATAAAGATTTTATGAAGTACTCACTTTATGAATAATTATTTACAAATATTCCTCTAGAATTCATAAATTGTGCAGTTGATATGGTGCTAAAACTAAGAAAAATATATATTTAAGTAACTAATCTATTCTAAATAGTTCCCATTCACAAATATGTCTATTAGGCATATATTCAACATCACTAATGGGTATTTAGTACTTTTTTTTTGCTGAGACTTGAACTAAATTTTAACAGATAGTCTATCCTGACAAGAATTTTTTTTTTATTTTTAGAACTGATCATTTCTAAATTAGCTGCATGAAAGATAGAGAAATCAAATTAAACTACTTTGGGCAAGACAACTATTATTCACAAGAATCACAATTACATTTGGTACAGATCTATCACTTTTGATGAAAATGAATTTATTTTTTATTATTTTTAAAGATAACATGTTTTTGAAGACTAATGGGGTATATTACTTTGTAAATATATATTATGAGGGAGTAACTTAAAAGGAAAAAGTAGACTAAAAGGCCTTAGGAGATGAAGTTCAGAAAAAAATAAATTTATGGTTTAGATGCACTGTAATCTAAATAGCCATATATGCTGTTTTAGTGGAAGTGAAAGAATAACAAATCTTCAAAATATCTACTGGTTTAATCAAGATCTAAACTTTTTGGAAACATGTATTATCTATATTACTAAAATACAATTACACGGTCTGAAATTCTTATTATTCAAGGAGAAATTTATTGATAGAAAAGGGAAGTCATAATCATATTATAAAATGTTACTTTAAAAACACAGTTCTTTTCAAATATAAGAATATCAATAATCAATGCCTATACAAGTATGAGATCAATTAGAAATCTTACTCAAAAGCTACATTTTACAAATGACCTATGTGTGCCATCTTTGTTTTCAAACCAGTCCTTCATAAAGGGCATATACCTGTTTTCTGAATTATCAGTGTCACCCATCATATACATTATTAAATATCTAGAAAATAATTATCTTCTCAATGGCAAATATTATAGCCTTCTATTTCTGTCTAAGGAGAACTTATATTTGACATCATGTATAAATATGTACATTCAAAAATTTGCAAGTTACATTAAAAGTTTTATTCTGCCTTTGATAACCATTACTTATAGCTATCAAAAATAAATATTTGTCAGTATATTCCCAGTATGTTCCTCAAATATTATTTGTTGATAAAAATGGTATTCATATCCATGTTTTGAAACTCAGAAAAGTGATTCAGAAAACAAATTTTATATGTATTTTTATTTTTCTGAGTTTAATAGGAAACAAAACAAAACGTTCTTCTTTCCATCATACTTGTATTCTGTAACTTTAAAATTGATACTAAGAAATGTGATAGTTGAGTTATTATCATATTAGAGTAGAAAAAATGATTATTTTCACAGCATAGCTACCAAGCTGATCTCTTTCAGAAGAAAATGGAACCTATATTCATGCAAAGTATTTAATCGTCAAATACTATGTTTAAATAATGAATTTAAGAATATCCATTATCTAAATGAGAAAGTACCACTGGAAAAATGTGGACTTTGGAATCAGAGCTGGGATGTGCTCTCTTGCACTTAATGTCTTTGAATCCACAGAAAAAAAACAGTTAATTTTCTCAGAACTTAGTTTCTTCTTCTCTAAAATGGTAATGATAAAAGCCTAACTCATGGGAAAGTAATGAGAACTAAAAGTAATGTTATGAAACATAATGCCTTATAAATAATACGCATCAAATAAGCGGTAGGGAAAGGAGTTTAAAATTGTAACACCCTGGCTGCTATTCCTAGAGTCCTCTAGGGTGAGAAGTGCTACCTAGGAAAATACTTCAGGGGTAAATGGACTGAGGAAAGAGGTTGCCAAGAAACTGCTCTGCAAGAGACCAAGAGAAGAACCATTTTGCCTCAAAGAGGAAAAAACTGAGAAAATCAGAATGATATTATAAAACGGCAGACTGTGAGGAGGATCAGGGCTGCATATTATCAGGAGTAAGGGAGTTAAAATAAATCTGAGAATGGGAATGTTTATATTTCCTTTGAAGTGCTTGGCTTTTACTAAGCTTAGACTCTTCCTTTACCATATATAGAAACTTTTTTTTTATAAAACACGGTTTTTTTCTCTTGTAAAAACCAAGTAAGAGACACTGGTTTGATGTGGTATATCATAAATGATGGCATGTTTGCAAAGGAGTCAAGATGACCATAAAAAAAAAAGAGAACTATTGGTAATTCACAAAGTATTGGAGAAAGCTTTGTATTTCACAAAATGCAGTTCTGGAATTTCAGCTAGTGTTACCCAGAGCTCAAATAAGTAATATTCTAAACACTGGCACCAGACTGCCTGAATTAGAACACTGCTTTCTTCTATTATTGTGTGTCCCTAGGCAAGTTACTTACCTTCTCTGCTCAGATTCCTCATCATAATAAAAGCAATAACAGCACCTGACTAATAATGTTATTGGCATTAATGAGTTAATACATGCAATGCCCTTAGGAAGATGCCTTGCACATACAGAGATCTTCAAATACAGGCTAGTTAGGAAAGCTCCCACTGACCTTCCATGTAATGGTGAATCTTCTGTGTCAACTTGACTTTGCCACAGGGTGCCCAAATTAAGCATTATTTCTGGGTGTGTTTGTGAGAGTGTTTCTGGATAAGATATGCATTTGAATTGGTGGACTCAGTAAAACAGACTGCATTCACAACATGGGTGGGCATCCTCTCATCTGAGGGCCTTAAGAGAACAAAAGTTGGTGGAAGGAGAAATGTGTCCCTTTTGCTTCCTGCTTACCTGCTTGAGCTGGATCATCACACTTTTTCTGTCCTTGGACTGAGATTAACAACATTGTCTCCCTGGTTCTCAAACCTTCAGGCTCAGACAGCAATCACACCACTGGCTTTTCTGTTTCTAGCTAACAGAAGGCAGGTTTGGGGAATTCTCAAGCCTGATAACTGAATGAGCCAATTTCCTTATAATAAATCTCTTCATATATATCTCCTATTGGTTCTGTTTCTATGGAGAACCCTAATCAGTACAGATTGTGGTACAAGGAATGGTAGCTGCTATTATGATGTAAGACATACTAAGTGGCCTAGAGCTCTCTGAGACATCAAAAGGAAGTTTGAATACATCTATAAACTAAAAGATGACCAGGGATCTTTGAATGGTAATGTTCTCATGTTTTCATTCAGCTGTATTTTTTGAGGAAAATGAAAGTTAAATAATCTAATCCTGTGGCATTTTAATACAAAAATTTGTCTCTTACAATTTAGCTTCTTAAGGGGGAAGGTCAGAATTAGAGCAATAGAAAATAGACTAAGAGAATTACGACAAAAATTCATTTTCCTGAGAATACTGTTACCACTATGTTACTAATAAGTCTCCATTAGCAGAATTTTTTAAAATATCAAAGAAGTGTCTGAGTAGTATTCAGCTTTAATCCACCCTGTTTCATGTCTCTCTCACAAGTCAGAATGCAGGGATTCAGTAAAATTAAATTCCAAATTGAACAAGTGTTGGTGCTGGCATTTCCATATCTGTAGGTTACTAAATCATCAATTATAGATTATTGGAAACCATCACTAAAATTATTTTCCCAACTCTATTTGTAGATAAGTCTATGGAGTCTTGACACAAATAGTAATATCATATTATGCTATAATGATTAGGTTGATCCTGGAATCCATATATTATGTCTAATTGATATTTTTGTTTTACAGTAATATAATTACACACAGATAGGTACATATTATAGTATTATATTATAATATTTTAATACTTATAAGAACATAAATATTTTAATTGTAAATGATATTTTAGGTAAGAATAGCAGGTTCTATTATTTTTAACCTTTTAAATAGAAAATAATTACATAATGAAATTTTAAAATTTTCTGAAGTAAATAATCTAATTTAAATATTTATACATTAAGTTTTAAATTTTTATTGCAAAAGCAGTGTTCAAGTCTGGACAAAGTACAATTATAATCTGGAAAACATATTTAAAATAATTGTTAAGTCCTTGAGTGTCATGCTTATGGTAATCAACATATCTTTCTATTCTGGTTTCTTTTTAAGTTGATTTATAAAGAGATCTAATCAACAAAGTTTCCAATATATTTCCATAAGTCTGAAAAATTAAACTATTTTAGAGAATTAGATTCACCCTCTGATTTCAAAGATGTTCTCTCCAAATAAGAAAATCTGTTCCAACAAGTAATGAAAATTACTTTCTAAATTCCACATTCCGCTTTTATCAAAAAGCAGATTTAGTACAATGAAGAGTGCACTGCATAATTTTTCCACTCAATCCCTTTAAGAAGTTAGTAAAATGAACAATCAATCCACATGATCTTTACACAGTTGCTCAGTACATTAGAATATATCATACAGATAATCACTGGTTCAGTGGGAGTTCTCTGATTGCATAGATTTAACTGTTTAAGCAACCACACTGGGTAAGATACTTTGCAGATTTTACTGCTGGAAATATCACATGAATCATCTGCCAATGTAATTCTAGCAAAGCAAGCAGTCAAAAGTTCATGCCAAAAGTTAAATTCTGCCCCTTTAGATTGGAGTTACCTATATTCCTTGCAAATTCTAAATTCATCAAGTATATGCTATATTTTAATCCATTTAAATTAGTACAGTCTCCTTTCTTAAAAAGAAGGTTTGATAGAAAAATTCTCTTTGGTGTAATAATATAATTATAAAAATTATTTTTAACTATTATCTAACTTTTTAAAAAGTTGTGCTGATTAGTATAAATGGGATCTATAATTATTTTTACAGCTTTGTTGCTAGAAACTGATTTACTAACGTAAGGTAAACCTGAACAGGTTTCAAATTCATTTCACAAGTCCCCCAAAATGGAAAACAAATTA